TGTCCTCCGGGGGGTCACGAGATTGCGGTGGACTTTAGGCCGAGTGGTGGCCTCTGAGGCGGCAGTGGGCGCACATCGGCTCCTCCTCACCGAAGACTTATCTAATGGTAAACTGCAGTTGTATTTGCTGTGCGCCTCCCTTAATAAAAAGCCATATAAACAGTGAGTGTATACTTGTTTGAGATAACCCTGGTCACTATCACCACCATTTGTCCGTTAATTCTTAGTCCAGTGCTGCCAAAGCTCATGGAGTTGCTGCACGACATGGAAATGGATCCCAAGCTAACTGTATTAAAAGCCAATTTACATCCCGATGACACCCCTTACACGACGTCCCACGAGAGCGAGTCGAGCGGTGCCTCTGAACGTGTCGTTCCCCACGACCACAACCCATTGAACGAGAGTGGGATCGACGACTTGACCACCACTTCCAGTTCCTCCGGTTAACGGATTCTCTCTATTCTTCAGTATTTTATATGTCATTCAATGTTATACTTCCCACTCATATGTCTATCAATTAATAAATAATTAAGTTTTACGAGAATTAAGACTTAGTTATAGTTTCTGTGGGCGCACTATATATTCATTTACGTATTTGTTTAATAAATATTCAATTACTGGAATAGTAATAAGATTAAAAATATACGGATATTAGGTTTTTATTTATATTGCACTTGAAATTAATGACTTTTGAAAGTGTATTTAATATACTGTACACTACTCCACACACACTTTCATTAGAGAGTGCATTATTATGTAATCAATTACCGCATAAGTCTATACAGAATATCGCAAAGAATATTCAAAGTACAGCGCTTGTAAGCAACAGAATATTCTGATATTAATATATAGCAAACACTATTAAAAATCAGTCGAAAATGATGGACAACACTAAAAGTGTCACCAAATATGAGCACAGTTTCGACACATTGATCGCCTTTCACCGGCTGTCGGGCATCGTATACGTGGGCTACGGGACGCCGAAACCGACGCCACTGCGGACAGTGCTGTGGCTAACGTACGGGTTCTTCATATGGGCGCTCATCATAGTGGCCAACATCCCATGTCTTCTCAATTGTTTCGTATCTGAGCGAGACTTTGACAACAAATACCTGTATATACTGTTCACCACTATGGTCACGATATTCACGGTCTTCTACATCATGACTGCCATCCTCTTTACGTTCAGAGGACACGAGTTTCAGCGACTTATCCGCGGGTTCCGCGAGTTTCATGTCAGCCCCAGAGCGCACCTGAAGCTCAAGATCGCGATCTATGTCTACATATTCCTCGCGGTCTGTATGTCCACCAGAAAGCTCTTCATGCTTCACAAGACATTCACTTTCATAACAATATTCAAATGTGTCGAAGACTTTTGCTCCGAAGTCATAGTGGACTCGACGGGCTTTCTAATGGTCTACTTCTGTATATATTTGGCCGCAATTAGCGCTCATATGAACGATAAGTTGCGGACAGACATGAAAAACCCGGAACACGTCTGGGATTTGGACGACCTCTACGACCGGGTCGTCAGGTTTCAGAAACTCATCAAAAAAGCTAACCGTCTGTTGAGTCCGTGTCTGCTCCTACTCTTCTCATTCAATATATTCTTCCTAATAATCGTGGCCTTTATTGTCACTTATCTCTCGGAATATAACTCAAGATTTCAGATCCAAAATGTTTGGCCATTTTTCTTGGTAATAACCATACGGATGTTTGTTTGGTGTATATTTGCTGACATTATGAATGAAAAGGTATTTGTTATGCCATTTAATATGATTGTTATTATCAAGCAACATTAAATTTGAATTAAAATTAATTTGAAATACAAATTCTGGTCACAGAATACGGAAACGTTTCAAT